ACGTTATGGCGCAATACGTAACAGAGGAGATGCTGTCATAGTGGAGTTGCGAGCACATATAAACCAAAACGCTGCAAGATCACCCTAATGCAATGACATGATCAACAACCATTGCTACCTGTGAGCTTGTATTCTTATGTAATCGTAATTGTTGGCGATTACAAGCTTGTCTCGCTTGTTGCGCATGTCACACTACATTCAAAACACCCTGCTGATGTGCCTGCAAGAGGTACTACCCATGCTGCAGTACTCTGGACTTTGTGTTACGACAAAATGACAGTTAAGTTAGCCAGAGTTCTGACATCTGTCTTGCAAGGTTAACGAGAGGCGTGTTAAGATCATGTTAACACCGGAAGGTCTATTTTTACACAGCACCCCCATCACCACCACGCCCACTCTCGACTAAAAGCTAACGATAAAAAAGACGCTGCAAATCTTGGTCCAAGCATGGAGGCACCACAGTATTTATAAACACCTGAGCACATCAGAAAAATGAATATTACGTTGCAGTAGGGAACGGACCGCCTGTGTCGTCAACACGACGTGCATGCTGCGCAGTTAAGATACTAATAAAGAAAATGGTTTCTCGTGGCTTCACATTGGATCAACCACTGAGTAGCAATGCACAAAAACACCAACAATGACTATGATAAACTGACGACTAAGTCCAAATAAATGGCTTTAAGTAACGTTAAATGCCTACCCGTTACGGGATTTTGTGCAGTTTTCTAGCTAGTAAAACGTAAGAAAGCTAACACTAGACGTTCAAGGATATGAACAAATACAACAAAGATGACTTGGTGACTGTTATTTCAGTGCAATCGACGTTAACGAAACCTTGCATTAGCTAACGCTAGCTAGGAGTGCTACTGCCGTCAACCTTAGCTAGCCTGTACTCACCATTGTCGCGTCGACTTTTCAGGCTCCTTGGAGATAACAAAAGCCCAATATAGTTTTGTATGCAGCTCAGCCTCTCTCAGTTACTCCAATGAAGTACTCAAAATTTCCCAGACTTTATTATAATGTATGTTTCAGAAAATCTGTTGAGTCTGTATACCGGTGTTGCAGTACAGTTGCCCGGAAACCTCAACCCAGAGACACCGGCGTGTTACTACGCCGCAGTACTGTTTCCATCCGCCGGTACGTCTTTAGTTCTCCTGCTTCGAACATTGCCAACAGCTAAATACTACATATATAAAAGCATTTAAGCTGCAATACACATTCATTCTTTATTATTGAATATGACTCTTAAAGAAAGGCAAAATCACAATTATTGTCGATCTATATAAAGGAAACGCGCAAAGATACTAGACGCACCACCCTGTTCCGAGAAGGGTTACCTTATGGAAGTTCTAGTTTATGGTGTATAAAACATGGTTCTTGTAATCGCAAAGTCGCTATTTCATTTTTAACGTGTAAGATTACAGTAAATTTTGAGCGCAAACCCCTGATTTTACATGTGCTAAAATCGCTTTGTTAGCTTGAGTGTTACCAAAATCTTGTTGCAGCATTAGCCAGTATCTGCTTCAATGTTATGTCCCCTTGCACTAAAAATTTATTTTGCTCACTTGGATGTTTGAGCTTCAGTCACTGTTAATTTTAGCACATGGTTTTGATTTTGTTGTAATCTGTCTTTTGAGGAAGTTTTGTTATGTAGCTGCCATAGATTACAGGTGTTGTTTTTGTCTATTCCAAAGTTGGTGGAATTTTTTTTATTTGTTCACACACAAACAGTGTCCATGTCCTTATAGAAGCTTGATGTACTTGATGTAACCAACATAGCTAGAACAGTATAATTTAAATAATAATAGTAAGGCCAGATGTTTTCTTTTTTTAAACCAGAACTATATAGTCAGTGCATCCTGTTATTAGAAAGTAAGCTATAGTATTTACATCTTGACAAAATGTATAGAAAGATTAAGTTATGGTACATTTTAAGATCCTGTTATTTTTATTTAACCGTTTTCACCGAGTTGCCATTGGTTATGTGGTTGTTAATGTAATTTTTTTTATTCAAATGTCCCTGGTAGAGCTCTAAGATCCACAGATTTTTTGTTGCTGACTGCAGCAAAAACTAACAACAAGGCCTATAGTGAGGCTGCCATCTACAGTTAGTTACAGTACTTCTTAAACCAGACAGCTGAATTCATGCCTCTGGATTTAAGGTGCTTATCACCAATTAAGGTTTAAAAGTACCTGTTTAAAATGATCATTTTACATAGCTTTTAACTTAAAAAGCCCATTGCATGCTTTTCCTTGTTTTCTGACTTATCTACAATGTTACAACGGTGAACTACCATCTCATGTCAGGTAGTATTTGAGGTACTGTCACTGTCGAAAGCGTAGCTTATTTGTCAAAGTTGTTTTGTCAATGCTTGTCATAGCTTTCGGACCGGCAGCAGGAGTTGTGCTCGTTCACGATCTATCCTCTCATTTTCAGGAGGAGGCTTTTTTTGTGATATTGGGTTTTATCATCCTGAAATAATTACAGACTATTTGGAGTTATGATGGGTGCAAAGCTATTCTAGAGGTACCCAAGATTAAACATTAAATGGCTGGAAAAGAGCATGTCGTGGGCTCTTTACTTTCTGCTACTACTACACTGCACTTCTCATATATACTTTTGCCATTTTTACAGTAGTGGTGATGATGATAATGATTGTGAGATTGTTATTATTATGCATATTGGACCAACAGAAATGTTCCATTAATACCCTTCCACCAAATACAGAGGTGAGGACATGCAATTATTGCCTTCATGACAGCTTGATGAAAGGATGAGCTAGGGTCTAAACATACTTGGAGAGCATAGTTCATGTTTATTTTTCAGTGCAGGTCCCAATAGACAAGTTCAATATACTGTATTGTATGTACTTAAATTACTCAGCAGAGGGAGACATTGTTCTAGTAATTGGTAGCAAAGAAGTGTTTTGACAGTGACTCAACATTTAATTAAGTGACATCAAAAACGAGAAAGAGAATGTTGAGTGACAAGAACAAATGGAGCTGTTTTAGGCCTACACTACACCAACAGTAGTTAGCCCCACTTCAACCCTCCCGTGACAGACCACAAATAACACCTTTTTGTTTACAACCTAATTATACTAACTTATATAACAAATTATATACTTCTTTTCAAATTTTCAATTTTACTAGTGGTGGAGATGATGTCAGCATACAGTTAGGGTGTAGCTTGACATTTAAAGCTTGTTATTGTTTCTTAATAAGCTGCAGACTGTGGAGATTCTATATAATGTTACACAATGATGAAATAGTTTCCAGTTATGGTTTTGGAGTGTGTTTTCTGACAGGGTACTTTAGCAGTACACTGATAATGATTGCAGCAGTCACTTTAAAAGGTTTGTTTTCCATAAAACTTCAGAGGGATGAAAACATTAAGAAGAATGTGGTTTTCAACTTAGTTTGCCTGGTTGTCTTGATATGATAATACATATAGAGGTTGTGGTGCTGGGTGCACAGGGGTATTGGTGGTACATCCATCCATCCATCCATTTTCTTCCGCTTATCCGGGGCCGGGTCGCGGGGGCAGCAGTCTAAGCAAAGATGCCCAGACCTCCCTCT